CCGGGACCCCCTGCGGCCCCCGGGACCCCCTGCGGCCCCGCCGGCCCGCCCCGACCGCTCCCCTTTCCGCAGATCGAAAAGGCCAAAGCCCTGAAATGCGCAACGTTCGGGGCCTCGTCGCTGCAGCAGAGGTACCTGGCCACGGGCGATTTTGGAGGAAACCTCAGCATCTGGTAAGGGCGCCGTGTCTGGAGGCGTCTGCGCGCGGCGCGGGCTGCYGTCCCGCCCGTGGAACTTAGGCTCCCGTAGGCGAAGGTGCCTCTTATTCYGCTGGGGAGGCTTTTTGGTGGAATGCTGGCGATGACGTGGGATGGTTGTTAGTTAAAAAGGGAATAAAAATGAAAGTCGTGTTAGGAAAGGCTCGCAAAGCTCAGGAGCTCGGAGGTGGGAAGGGAGGTGGAATGCCCCCTTGGGGGGGCAGCGGGTCTTTGGGCCGCAGGAGCAGCCACGGGACGGGAGCGTCTGTCCCGGAGCCCATGGGCCCGGGCGGCGGTTCTGACCCRCGGCGCGGTCCTGTGGAGCCCCCACAACGGCCGGGTCGTGGGGGCTGCTGGGGGGAGCCCACGGCCAGACCTGAACAAGCCTTCGATCAGTCCGAATTGACAACCAAGGACACATCAGTGAAGGACCCCGGGTCCTTGCAGTTGATACCAGCACTTGTTGTCGCTGTGGAAGGAGCTCTTAGGTGTTGTGCGCATGCCATGTTTCCTCTCACTTTTATACCAACCCCGAGCACCAAGGAAAGCACCGTCTTCTCTCGTCTTTMCTTTCTTGCCCAGGAATTTAGAAGCTCCTGAAATACCTGTGTATTCTGTGAAAGCTCATAAGGAAATCGTGAACAGCATAGATGGTGTAGGCGGCTTAGGGATCGGCGAAGGTGCGCCGGAAATCGTGACCGGCAGCCGAGATGGTGAGTTAAGCTGCTCGGAGTGCCGCTGCGCTTCCTGCAAGGGCGCGGGCCGCGGCGGTGACGGTTGTCCCTAACGCAGCTCCGTGCGGCTCTCTGGCAGGAACGGTGAAGGTGTGGGACCCCCGGCAGAAGGATTCGCCCGTTGCCAACATGGAGCCCGTCGAGGGCGAGAGCAAGAGAGACTGCTGGACGGTGGCGTTCGGTAGCCGGCGTGGGGGCCGCGGCAGCCGGGCTCCCGCTCACGGGACCCGCCTGGGGTGTCGGGGCTGCCTGCACCTAGCTGCAGGCTGGGGCGTTCCGGCACTGCTGGCGCAAGCAGAGGGACGGGCATTGTAGGCATGTTGTTTAAAGAAACAGATCGCCGGTTTTGATGCTGTATTTTCTATACCCTTCAGGTTGGAAAACCAATCCATTCATTAATCTTAGTATTTCAGTAGCAGTGTTTGTCTTTAAGTTGAAATTGCAGAGCTAGGATTTCTGAGACGTGCTTCTGAAACGCTCTGAGGAGGGTTCTTTGTGCTCTGATGATTTTTTTCTTGGTATCTAGGAAATGCCTACAATCAAGAGGAACGTGTTGTGTGTGCTGGATACGACAACGGGGACATTAAATTGTTTGACTTAAAAACCATGTCGCTACGCTGGGAGACTAATATTAAGAATGGGGTAATGTGTCAGAAGAGCTTGTTTTCATTCTAGCATATTCTAGATCTCCTTCTTTGGAGATCTTTAAAASCCGCTTGGATGCAGCCCTGTGCCACGTGCTCTAGGTGACCCTGCGTGAGCAGGGGGGTTGGAGTCGATGACCTCTGAGGTCCCTTCCAACCTTCGGCATTCTATGATTCTATATATGCAGGATGGAAAAAACAGAAGGTCACTCTGTCTGTTAAAAATCTACCCAGAAATTTTCTCTCTTGGAATTATAGCAAGGATTGTTGGTTTTTTTTTTTTTTTTTTTTTTTTTTTTTTTTTTTTTTTTTTTTTTTTCCCCTTTTTTATTTTTTTTTTTTTTTTTCCCCCCCAAATTCAGAAAATTGTACTTCTGAAGCTCTTGAGTCTGGGTCGCATGAGATATTTTAGCCGTAACTGCTTGGGTGGTTTGGCAGTGACATGTTGGGTCACCTTTTTAGGTGATATTTTGGAATTTTGTTATTTTCAAGCTGGTGACATTGTTATTGTAAAAGTGACCRATGCCAATATTTTATTTTATATTATGTTATATTTACAAATCTGATTACAAGTTGGAAACAAAAAGTGTGTTTTATCAGTGGCTGAATTTCAAGGTTGAATATATGTGTCGTTGTATTTCCAGGTGTGTAGCTTGGAGTTTGACAGGAAAGACATAAATATGAACAAGCTGGTGGCCACGTCACTTGAGGGAAAATTTCACGTTTTCGATATGAGAACTCAGCATCCGACCAAAGGTTTTGCTTGTGTTTCAGAAAAGGTAGGAGGGGTCAGAGCACATGTTGCTCTGGACAAGCTCTGAATACAACTGCTCAAGYATCTGGAAGCAATACAGGTTTAAAGCTGTTGTTTAAAGTGATGCCTGCTAGAGGTCCTGGTGCCAGGGCAGGGCCAGCACCCAGGGGTAGGCGCAGCCCCTGGCAAGGGCTCCTCGGGCACCGTTCCCGGCCCTTGCAGAGCCCTCCTGGGTCTCTGTGGCCTTTGCTGCTGCCCCAGCTCCGCACTCAGCCGTGCCCCTGGCCTGCCAGGGGCCTGTCCTCTTGTGATGAGCACAGATTTGAGTCTCAACTGCATCCCCAAATCAGTAATAAATGCACGTGGGTTGACTTCATGAAGGCAGCGATGGCTGCAGATCCTGTGTTGTTGGGAAGCTAATTTGTAACCCACTTCCATACAATGCTGTTTTCCATCAGGCTCACAAATCTACTGTGTGGCAGGTTCGGCACCTCCCGCAGAACAGAGATATATTTGTGACAAGTGGAGGAGCGGGGAGCCTTCATCTCTGGAAATAGTAAGTGATCCCTCTCCGTTTTACAGCAGGGGAAATCAGAAATCGAAACAAACGTAGATTGTTTTAAGAAAGAGTCTTCCTGAAAACACTGAGTGGGTCCTGCTTTGAAGCTCATATGCTCTAGTTAAATTTTCTGCTTACAAATACAATAGGAAAGTGATTTCTGTGTCAGTACTGAATGATGCAGCCTGAGTTAATCTCTAGAAGAATGTGATTATCGACAGCATAGGTGAACTGTGCACTTGTTGCTTTCCTTAACGTACTCAAGATCCAATTACATTTTCAGTCAACAGGCTGATAAGTGGATTTCTTAATATTCTTGCATGGCAGCAGTTAGGGCTAACAAAGATATTGAAAGCCCAGCCTCTAATAATTCTTAACTTATCTTCTCAATTCCATGCCAAAATAGTGAATTCAGCATGATGCAGTGGTGCAGATCCCTATTACCCTTCCTTTTCATAAGGAGAGATGTAATTTTCTTCCCTGTGGCAAAAGTCAAATGGTTGAAAAATGTCGAGGTTTGGGAGAGAAGTGTCCGGATCGAAGGTGTTGCGTTGAAGGGCTAGTTCAGAACACCGTGGGTCTTCAGCATGTCCCCAATCACCTTCCCCGTGCCGAGGCGTGCAAGAGCTGAGAATTCACYGAGAATGCACCAAGGGTGTAGCTGGATATAATGATTCTTTATTCTTAAGATATTTGTCTTATCTTGAGAACAGAGGAAACCCTTCTCTTTGGGCTTTTGAAAATGAAAAGGACGATGGTGCTTGTATGGTTAAATTTAACATGCATGTTTTCCTGTTCCTCTTGCCAGCGAATACCCTGCTCAGCGCTCAAAGAAGGATTCGGAAGGAGCTGACATGGGGGTGGCAGGTTCCGTCAGCCTCTTGCAGAATGTGACYCTGTCGACACAGCCCATTTCCAGCCTAGACTGGAGCCCCGACAAAAAGGGACTGTGTGTGTGTACCGCGTTCGACCAGACCCTGAGGGTGCTCATAGTGACCAAACTAAACAAGGTCTGACAGGAGAGCCGGGATTGGCAATGAGAAAGCAGTATGATTTCCAATCCGTAAGTATGGGTGGAATTTGTAATCTGTAAGTATGGGTGGAGGAAACCTCCTGTTTCCAGTTAAATTCCTTATTAAAACTGGATTAAAGGAATAGAGGCCRGATCTTTCTATCGAAAGTTCAGAATATGCCCTTGGAGTTGTTTGATTGTGCTGCAATGACTTGAGCAAGTGGCCTAGGCACAAAAGTTTTACCTTCTTGAAATGTGAATTTGCATTAAAAAGTGCCTTTGTTTTAGCACAACCTTCAAGTTCAAAAATTGTTATAAATTGTTGGCAGTTTAACCACGGTGGAATATACATTCTCCTTTAGGTGAGTCAAACCTTAAACGGTTTGACTACTTTCTACATAGTATTTGTCCATATGCATTTAGGCTGTGGAAACTACTGTATGATTCTACATAGAAATTCCTTATCTGAKTATATTAGAATGTTTGTTAAAGTGACTTAGATTCTTTAATACACTATAGAAGCTGTAATGAATACTGAAATAGTSAGGTCTGATGAAATAAGCTTTTCTTGAAGATGGTGTTGAAATTAAACTATYAAGCATAATGCACTGTTTTATTGTTTTAGTTTGGTTTTGTAACAAAACGTTTTGTATATCTGTTTGTAACTTGGTTTTCTGCAAATAAAAGTATGTGGAGTGTTGTTTTAATATGAACAAAGTAGATTTTTCAAACGTCTGGAGAAGGAAAGTGTGGGGTTTGCAAGAGCGGTTTGTAGTGCTTAGAGAAAACTTCATCGTTTTGCAGCAGTAGTAACTAGAATTTACCTGGTGTGATTGTGTAGTTAGTTATTGTAGTTATACCRAAAGTTCTCTTTGAAGTTGCCCTTACCTGCAGTGTGTTTCTCTTCTGATTTAATCATAACTGTGCAGCACATGCGGGCTTGGGAAGAGGGACCGGTGTGAGACCGTCGGGTGAGCTGCCTGTGCTGCATCGAGCTCTGCTTTCCAGGGAGCGCTCCTGGAAACCACTCTGCTCTGCCGAGAGACCGGCCCCGGGGCGCTGCGTCGGTCCTGAGCAAGGGGCGGGAAGAACACGCTGCCCGAGGCTGCTGCCGGCCAAGGTAGGGATCACTGCTTAGATCCGGGCTGAACGCAGGCGAGGTGCACGTGCCCTTCTTGTGCCCTGCCATGTCAATTGGTYAGTCCTGGTGCTAGGGCTGAGGGCGGGATGCTGAGAGCCCTGGATGAGGGCTGGAGGCCGGCCCGGCCGCAGCATGTGCAGCGCGGTGTATGTGCAGGCCTTGCTCCGCTCGGCCAGCAACGGGCGAGTTAGGTAGCATCTCAGAGCTGCATGGGCCCATGGGTGCTCTTTGGTGTAGGCTGTGTCAGAAGGGACAGACTGCTGAGATCCAGCTGTCCTCCTAGGATTGACAGCTTGCTTGCAAGTGTAATATTTGCTATTGGATTTTTTTTTTTTTTGACACAAGTAATCCCATCTGCTTGCATACATGGCATGACACTGAGATGTGTCTCTATATTATTCTTGGTGTTGTCCCTCTTTGGGGCGCATGCCGAGGAAGTGGGGGAACTACTGCACTAGTCTTGACCTTGGACCTCTTTGAAAAGCTCGGGCTRTGGAGTTCAACTGGTCTGGATCTAAAATGCAGCAGTAAAAGGTGACCTCCATCAGCTTGTGCAGTAAATAAGGCATACTCACTGAAAGCGATGCAAGGCAGTAGAGCTCTGTGGAAATAGGGCTCTTGACTSAGAATTACTACTAGAGAGAAGCACAATGTGAGGAAAGAAAAAACTCAGTAGATAGCTGTGAGAAAAACAGTGGCAGGGCCAGCCTGGGCTCTTGGTKGTATTTCGTGTATTTGCCCTGCAGCACTGACATTCCTCCTTGACACGACAAGTCCAGGSATAGACCAAGTCCTTTCTGTGTGGTGAAAAGCCCTGAATCCTCCTTATTCTTAGTTGTAGTTTTGTTGAGAGGARCAAGGGAGCTGTACCCTCGGTGCGCCATGTGGCGCAGCGAGACTCTGCAACTTGTAATGCTGCCCCTGTAGCTGCTTCTGGCCCTGCTGGTGCTGGGGTGCTGCTCTCCACCAGGTATAACCCAGCTCAGGGATATGCTCTGTGTATGAAAGGCTTTTTCCTCCAGCTCTCCTCACATTTTGTCCCTTGCCTACTGTGCAGGCTGCCGGAGGCAGAGGCAATCTCGGGGTGTTGCCAGCTTTGGCCCTGCGAGGCTCAGGTTTCTAGGCAGCGCTGCAGCAACAAGGGGGAAATCCCAGCAACACGTGGGTGCAGCCAACGCAGTGCATTCGGCTGCGGCCCATGGTAACCCTCCCGCGCTCGGAGTCATCAGCTGCCCGCGGAGACGACGGAGGCTCCGCTTTGTGTTTCTTCTCTGCGTAGGTTGGCGGGGCAGGCCTTGGCAGCCCCTTAGCAGGCTCCTACAGAGACCCTGCTGCATTCTCCTCCTCCTCCTCCCACCACATCCTCGTGCGTGTGCACAGGACTGAAGCAGAGCGGCGCAGCCCTCCTGCCTCCCCAGGGGCCCCGGCAGCTGTGCAGGGAAGGGACGCGAGGAACAGGGACGTGGAGCTGCTGCGTGTCCAGGCCTGACTGCAGAAGCAGTATCAAGAGCGGCTGCTCGGAGCGGCTGTTGCTCCTTGTCCCATCCCTTGCGAGGGGTTCGCAGAGCGGCTCTGGGATGCGGCTGGCGGCAGCGTGAATCATTCTCTGCGCTTGGCGCTGGAAGGGCTCTGCCCAAAGCGCGGCGCTAGTTGTGCTGCCATGTGACCGTCCTCCTCAGCAGGCTAGAATGGTTCTAAACTGGACAGTTCAAATAGGATAGTTTGACTCTAACAGTGACGTCCCACTATAAAAAAAGATCCATATGCACCTTCTCTGGTTTTACCTGCTGTTGCAGTCCTTTTTGGAGGAACAAAGCGCTAAATTCCCCCACACAGCCTAAGGGCCGCACGCCAAGGCTCACGGTGACGTTTATTGCCGGTCAGCAGCAGCCGGAGGCACCGCTCAGGGCATCCCTGCCCTGGTTACACTGGCCCGTCATCTCCTGGCTTGGTTGTGCATCCTCTGAGCACGACCGACAAGGAGATGGGGAATAAAAATCAGCCCCGTGTGTCTGCTCGGGGTGTTTTCTGCCACCTGCCCTTAGCTCTAGAACAGCCCTCAGCCCTTAGGAAACCTGCATTAAAAACAATCAGTAAAAACACAATAGAAAGATCTGGTACCCAGCACTTCACCACATCCTGTCACTTCATCTAGCTGGCATGAACACAAGCTCTTTGATCTGTCCTAACTATCCTTATCTCAGGAGAGATCTCGGCTTTCCTATCTGTTAGGTTAAGAAGCTTTAATCAGGGAGTTTGAGCTAATCTTATTGAATTATATAATTTTCCCGCTCTAAAAGAAAGCTACATCAAGCTTAGTTTCCTTTTTTTTTTTAATTTTATTTTATTTTTCTTCATGAACTTTTCCCTTTTACAAACACAACATTTCTAACCAAAATATAAATGTAAAAGAGTCTCATTGTAGTAGGTTTTAAGGCATTCTAATTTAATTGGAGTGCAGGAAAAAAGGACAGATAATAGCACAGTTGTGTATGTGTAAGGTGAATCTTAGTTCTCCTGGGCCTCTAGGGTGCCACGGACAGTGTCCCCAAGGCCGGCAAGCTGCATCCGCCCCGGAAGATGTTGGAGGTCACCCTTTCTCTCCCTGTTCTGTGTGGCACTGCCAGCATCTGGGGGCTCCCGAGGATGGGAGCGGGCTCTGTGGGTTCGCTCCAACACAGCGTTTCCCTCGGGGACAGGGGCACACGCCTGAGAGCTGGGAGTCACGAGCTCTCTTCCTGACCCGCCGCCTGCCTTGTGCTCAGTCACTGCACGTGACTGAGGCATCGGGTGCTGCCCTGCGCGGCCCTGCTCGCCCCGGCCCGGCTGCTTACGAGGTGCCCTCCGACACCCTGCTCCTAAGGGACCTGGCGCAACTTGCCTGGAGCGCAGGAGGTCAGGATCTCCGTCAGGAAATGGATGGTGGCCCGGGCTGTCCGCACTCACTCCCTCGGGAGATGGTCTGAACRTGGATGTTGTGCAGGGATGGGCGAGCACGGCGGGAGGGCAGGCTGCAGAGCAGCCTCTCGCCAGAGTCCCAGCGCCACGTAGCCCTCTTCTCACCGCCCTGGCAAAGCCCATGTTAAGGCTGGAGCAGGTCGGTGTTTACAGCACAGCTCCTGGCTCTAGAGGTGTAAGGCAGCGACTGCAGAATGCAAGGGAGCGCTCTCTGTGCCTGGATGAATTGGCTTTATAGTAATTGATAGACAGGGCTTGTGCTGGACACAAGGCAAAAGCATCTACTGAGAAGGATGGAATTACAAAATCAAACTGCTCTTGCTGAGGCTCATATTAAATGGCCATACAGAGGAAGTAGTGCCAAAAAAGCAGGACTTGCAGACAAGGTAATCCCGTTCCTTTGGTTCTCCCTTACAAGGGCTATAGGTGCTTATTACAATCACCTTTTGCTTTTACAGATGATATTKTTTTTTCTGATTTTAGCATCTGTATTCAAAGAATTATTGAAAAGAAGCTTTCTTTTTTTAACAAAATTTGTAGGCTTGAACTTCCAAGGTGGAGAGCGGAAGCTGTTTAACATTCCATACTCTTGAGATTTTTGATAATACACTGATAAAATATTAATGCATGCCTTGAATAAAGCAAGCCTCCCTATGCTATTGAATTATAGTCGTGGTGAGAATAATGGACGAGATTTTTAGACCTCTGTCCACATGTAAGCATAATATTTCCAGTGGGGATCTGACTGCAGGGTTTGGCCTATGTGTCTGTCTGCAATGAACACTGGTTTTGGAGGAGCCAATATATAGTTTGTACAGTGAGTAATAAAAAGTGAGGAATCATTGCCTATTTTTAAATGTTTAGAATTGTTTTCTGTTGGTTTGGGAGTGCCACAGAAAAATCAATAATCATTCATAGGCCTCTCAAGTTAAATGGCTTCCATTAAGTATGTAAATTCATAATACGATATCAGAATGGCACCAACCTAGAACAACTGAATTATGAGAGCTGCATTTCAGTCAGTTTTTGAATGGGATAAGGGAAAATGCCCAGCTCCTCATTCCTTGCTCTTGAAAGCCAAGTAAGCACCACAGCCCTTCTAAGGGGTAGAGGGATGTTTGCAGCAGCCTTCTGGCTGATCTGCTGTTCCTCAGAGACTCGGTACCTGATCGAAACCATCCCGGTGCAGCAGGGACGCTAAGCCTGGCGCTAGGAGGAGCAGAGCAGCCCCGCTCAGCCTGCTGCTGGATGTACCGTGTTGATCCCTTTGACTCATATCCTTGATCCCTTCCCTGAAATGCGCTCTTGGGCTAGGAAATGATTCCCGCAGTGCAGCACAGGGCTCCCACRGACACACACAGACTTGTCACACGGAGGCACAAGCCTTTCACGCGCTCGAGCAGAAATACACAAAGTGCCCCCGAAGGAGCCAGCCTGCGAGGCCCACGTGGACATCCGTGCAGGACATCTCCTGAGGAAGCAGCGAAGCCTTTTAGGTCTCCTTCCCTGCTAMCTCTCTCCCCCTTTCTGCGAGCTTTCCTTTCCCCGCCGCTCTCTTTACACTTACCCCATGCAAGCAGATCCCGTTGGCTTCGAGAGCTGCTCTTTCCTGCCCCGGAGAATGCCCAGAGCCTGATGCAAGGCGCGGGTGCTGTGACAGGACTGCCGGTGTCCCGCAACGAGCAGCCYGTGTCCCCGCGGGCGCCTTTTCCCCGCGCAGCTGCCCGGGCTCTGGCGCCCAGCCTGGGTGCAGGGCTGAGCGGCGGCGGCGCCCCGAGTGACACCCRCAGCCCCGCGGCAGCGCCGCTGCCCCGCGCCCGCTCGGGGCCCTGCTCCCTCCGCTGCGGCGGCCGCAGGAACTTCCCGGGGCTCTTGGGGCCTCGCGGGGTCCCACTGCGAGGGCAGCAGGGCCCGGCAGCCGCCACGGGGGCGGGAAGGGAAGCGGGGAGGGGGAAGAGCAGGAAAAGAGCAGAACGCCAAATCAAAACTGCRGCAGGAAAGTAGCGGTGTTCTTCCGTTCCTCAGAAATCTCAGGATTCTCCCTTCAAAATGTCTGGATTTAAAGCTTAAACATTGAAAGCTTAAGTAAGTCTCCTTCCTTTCTCTCTTTTTTCCTTTCAGGCGGAAAGTCCAGAGGATAGAGGTGTTTCTGGTCTACTTTGAGGCCGATRGATGTTTTTGGAGTATTTTTTTTTCAATCTTAATGAAAATGTGAAATTTTAAAGAACTGGTATTCYCCGTTCCAAACAATGATGAAATATGATTTCTCCAGCGTCACCGAATAAACCAGAATCCGGCCGCTTGCTTTAAAAGCCCTGGTTCCCCACGGAGCCCCTCGCGGGACGGAGGCACCGGTACCGGCGGCCGCCCCCTCAGCTGCAGCGCGCGGCGATGACGTCAGAGCGGCGCGGCCCCGCCCCGCGGCCGCAGCGCGCACGCGCAGGGCCGCGCGGACATAAGAGCGCGGCCGCGGGGCGCCCCTCGCCGCTGCCCGTGGCTGCTGCGCTTCCCGCGGGAGCGCGGCTCGGTAACGGCCGCCCCGTTCGAGGAAGCGCCTCCCGGGGCGCTCGGCTGGATAACGGTCACTCCCTGTCCCGTTGGAGGAAGCGCTTCCCGTGCGCGGGGCGGTGAGGAGGGGCACGTGGCCGGCGGCGGGGGGGGGTGCGGGCCACGTGACGCGGGGCCGTTGCGCGGGGCGGCACGTGGGGGGGAGGCTTGGCAGCGTCATCGGGTGACGTCGCGTGACGTCATCGACGCCTCTGTCATCCGTTTGTTTATTGCCGCGCGYGGGGTCCGTTGGAGGAAGGACCCCGTGGAGAACGGCCCTCAGGGCGCGGGCGGAGCCGCCGTGTGCCCGGGGCTGCGGGGAGAGCGCGGCGGCGCCCCGTGCCCGGAACCGCGCGGCCTCGCCGGGACCCGCTCTGTCCTGGTGTCGTGTGCCCGCTTGGCAGCTCCGAGCGAATCAGGGCGCTTCAGCCTGGCAAGCAGGGTGTCCGTTATGCCAGTTGAAAGGCCTCGCGCAAAAATGCCAAGGCCYGACTTTGGAATTAGTCAAAATTGGGGCGTGCCAGGGATGTTTCTAGGTTTGGAACTTATTAGCTTTTACTGTAAAATGATTGAATATTGGTATTCCTGTGGTGGTCTTTTCCTTGCTGAAGAAACGAAGGCATTTGATGCAAGSCTATTCCCTGAAATATAAGGAACTCAAATATAAAAGTGCTTTTTAGTGGTTTGTAGGGTTCCGGTCAGAAATGAGGGCGTTCTGGCTGCTCTGCAGAAGTCCTACAGGCCCTTTTCAAAACCATGCTCCTCTCTGAAGGGGTTGCGAGATGTTCAGAATCACCTGCTGCCTTGTGCACAGCTGGTCTGCTGTACGTAGGAAATACCAAAGGCTTGGTGGGTTGCTTGTTTTCAATGGCAGCAGTACCAAAATCATGGGATATATTTGGAATGGTGAACTAAATGCAGGAACATGTCAGTCCTTATAAATAAATGAGCAGTCGTGGGGACCAGTGCTGGTCACTGCACCTCCAGAAACGTGGTGCAGCAGAACGGAGGTGGCCGAGTAATGAAGAGAGAGAAGCTCCGCGCCGTTACCTTTAGTGTCCCTGGGTGATGCCACGAGAGCCTGGAGGCTGCAGACCCGCCTGCTCCTGGCTGCCGTCAGGYGCTTTCCTGCATCCTTCCCGCAGGCATCGCTCGCCCGGCCCCCGTTGGTGGTTCGGGCTGTGCGTGTCTGCCTGCCGGTGCAGGCAGCGTGTCTGCGTGTGGCGCTTGGAGCGAGCTCCGTGCTCCGGCCTGGGAGGTGCGCGTGCCCAGGCCGCTGGCTTCCTTCCCCTGGCGCCCTCCCTSTGCTCCCTCTGCCAGGCTCTGCTTAGTGCCGTTTGCTTTCTTTTTGCCCCTCCCTTCAGTGGGGATCTCATTCCGTTTTGTCCCTGTGAGTATTCCGTGCCCTTGTGGGTTTTGTTGGGCTTCGTTTTTCTTTACTGTCACTTCCCCACTTGTGTAGGTCTTTTCTCTTTTTCATCCTTTTCCTTTGTTGCTGGTTGCTTGCCTTCTTTTTGTTATCAATTGTTAAATCCTACTTAGCAGACGAGTGGAGAAAATGTTTTCCCCACTGTGTTTTTCACCTGCCACAAGACTTGGCTGTTGCCTGGAATGCAATGCTTGACCATGCTGCAGTAATTACATTTTGTCCAACTGAAAACTGGGTAAATATACATCTAATAGTTGAACATAGAGTCAAATAGTAGCAAGAAATAGGTTTGTGGTTGCTGTTCAAAATGGTAGAAAAAAATTACTSTATGAGGCATTAATATAGGAAATTCCAGTAATGGAAGTACTTTTCCTTATACTGTGGAGCTAGTGGCCAATGAAGCAAATCAGTTCCAAAGCATTAAAACAATATCAGAAACGTAGCTGTGGGGATTTATGGCACTGATAGCAGTGGAAAGTTGTAGGAAAGTTGGGAGGAGGAGGTAGACTCCATAATTAAGACCGTCCTTCAGCTGCAGACGGGAGGCACATTATCCTCTGTGCACCGTGCGTTTGGCTGCGTGAGAGCAGTCAGTGTGGGTTCCTGTCACGCACCGGAAAGTACCAGGAGTGCAAAGATACTGGTCTCATCCAGCCTGGCGGAGTAAGTTCTTTGATGCAAGTTGTGCTGTACGAAACGCTTTTGCTGGGTATTATGTTTTAGACTTGGAAATTTAAGATGGTTGTAAAGCGCTGGTGTTCGGCTGAGCCGTGCCGAGAGCTTTTGCAGAAGCCTCTCAGCAGGACGTGCTCTGGACGTACAGAGGCGGCGGGTTTGGGCCTCACACTGCTGACAGGTTACGGACAGCTTGGAGCCTGTGYGTGGGCTTTGTGCAGGGGTGGGAAACCACCACCAGTGGAGGTGTGGAAACCAGCACAGCTGATGGTCCTGCCGAGAACAGAAGTGTTTAAGGAATCCTATGTGTGAAGTTTGAAGTTGGAATCAAAGCTGATTTACGTGAGTGCGGGTGGGACGGCAGAGTATATGGGTTGCTTAAGCTAAGATGGGATATTTAATTCCCTCATGCGATGTCACCCATGGGCTGAAGTATAACTTCAGAAATATTATCCTTGCCTTGAAAATTACATCCTTAAGAAAGGAGTGAGGGGAGGGAGAACTTGCAGATCCTCAGAGGCTGCATTGACTGGAAAGAACACACTACRGTCCTTGTTTTCTAAGCAGAAGTTTACATAAATGTGATGATGTTTTTGAATAAATGAGAATTACCACCTGTATGAGCTCATTTTGACATCTTTATTGATCAGGCTTGYATGCAATTAATCAGTTTTCTCATGTAAGTAGTTTGTTTTATGAGAAAACTGCCCTTTTCTCACTAAAATAGTTCCCCACCACCAATCTCAGCTGTTTTCCCCAAAACTGCTTGATGTTTTTTAAGCTCAGGATTAGAAGGAAAAGTTGTGTCTGGTAGATTGATGTTATGAAGTCATRTCCCATTTTTCATCACTATTTGTTCCACTCATCCTTAATTGAAATGGCCCCTTTTCTATGTTTATAGGTTATAAACTTTCCTTTGCATTCACCAAACTAAAGGTGGTATGAATTATTGTCATTATGCACACAACCACAAATTATCCTATCTTGTTTTTCTGGTAATTAGTAATGGAAATACTGTTTTACTTGTAATCCCTCCAGCTTTCCCAATTACAAACATGAGTACTTGGCATGTATTTTCATATTCTCTCATCTGAATGTTTATCATATCTTCTTGTCTTTTTAAGTAGGTTCTCTGTAATAATATGTCTGAGAGTCAGCAGCAAATCCTACAAAGAAAACATGTAGAAAAATCCATTTGGGGAACTAAGTTTCCACTTGTTCAAAATACATAGAAAATTATTGGTAGAACTTTGAGAAACTTTTTTTTTTGTGGCTTAACAGCGTAAGGATTGAGGGCAGTATTGTCTTTAGATACAGATGTATGCAGAGTCCCGGTGTGCTCTGAGTTGCTCCCGTTTACAGCATTGTCCTTCCRCAGGTGTGAGCGAGCAGCCCACGTGTTGGTTTTGGCCAGGAGTTTGTGCAAGTTCTGTCATGTGGCTCTTTGAACGTAGTGTGAGTTTAGTCTTGTTGATTTAGCATTATCCAAGCCAGTTCAGGCTCCTTGTTGCTGCCGTGCGGTGACGCGTTCCCCCGTTCGGAGGTTGGTGSTGCCGGAACCCGAGCGCGGTGCCGCGCGGCATGAGGAGCAGCCTGCGGCGTCCTGCCGAGCGCAGAAGCTCCGGGGAGCAGAGCCCGGCACCGAGCGCTGCCATGGGCCAGGCTGCAGCTTCGTTCCAGCCAGCACTGCTGCCTCCTCTCCTTGCTGCCTGACAGGCACAAGGAAATGCTTTGTGGTAAGAGGGAAGACTTGGTTCTTTCTGGTTCCTGAGACAGCAACAGCAGAAAAGTTCATTTGGGGTGATGTTTGCTATCTTTCCATCTGCCTTATCCTTCAGGCTGCGTTCTGTGATACGTGTTCAGTGGTTGTTTGTCAGTGCAGCTGCAGTAAAATAGCCCAAGTTGACTCTAAGCAATACCACATTCCTGCTGCAGGAGTTTGCTGGGGATTTTTCCTGCTGCTGCCAGTTTGGGCTGACCGGATAGAGGGTGGGAAGAGCTGGAATGTGTCACTGTTCGCACATGTCTATCGCATTCAGACTGTGATTGCCTTGATATTGCAGGTGGTGGTAAATGTTGTGGCAGGATGTTGCTCTGGATTCCCCCTCTCCCGCATGAGTGAGTGTAGTAAACGTTTGTGGATGGACACCTCCACAGCTAAATCCAACCAGATTTAGCTCTGTCAACAGCTGCTCCAGCCCAGGTTCTTGGGTTGCTCTTTTTTTCCTGCTTTATTATATGACCAGAAGTTAGCAACGAAGTTGTCTGACTGTGACTAGAAGGAACCTAACGAGGCTGATCATAACACAGGCGGCGGGGTCAGAACCAGACACAAATGTTGTGTTGCTAATGAYGGGTGATCACAGTGCCGCTGTGCTCGGCTGCGGGCTGCGCTTGGCCTCCCCGCGGCCGCTGACCCGCGCGCGTGTCGCCCAGGGTGCCTGGTACCCAAGGCGCACGTCTGCTTTTGCTGCAGCGGCTGAGCCTGCCAGGCTCCAAGCAGGGCACGCGCCAAGCCGCCGGGCAGCGCTCCGCTCTGTCCCACGCAAACTGGAGCAGAGAGGCTGCTCAGCGGGTGATGCGGTTTTCAGAACCGCTCTGGAGCGGCTGCAGCTGCAGGCACGTTGGGGTAGAGGGGCTCCACGCTGGTTTTCCTCCTCGTTTTTCTCCCATTTGACCTCTAGAAGACACAGTAAATAAAAACCTTTCTCACACAAACCATGCTCTTGCCAGGAAAAGATCAAATCTTCATTTAAAACAAATTCCAGTGCCGTGGCAGATGTTTGCTGTCTCCTTGCTGTTCATGCTTGCCATGTGCCATGGTGTCATACATCAAGCTTTCAAAGTGCAGTTTCTCCAGCTGATGCTCCTGCCCTCTGTACTCAGCATTTGGGGGTAAATGATCACAGTGACCCCAAGTGAAGGGACTGTGGTGAGCCAGGTGTTCCTGCTGTTCTCTRTAACAGCCCATCAAATGGGTGGGAAAAGCCTTTTTTCTTCTTTCCTCACAACATTTAAAAAAAAAAAAAAGCTTTCTCCACCAGTTGAAGTTGTAGAGAATAACTGGGCTTTAAGTAACCTTTCATGTCCTCAATAGCATACTGTGTTAGGGAATTCAAGATCTCGGCTGCAGGCAAGCCAGCTGCGGCGTGACTGCTCCCAGGGAAGGGTGCTGTGGTGCTAGGATCAGCACTRGAGTGTTTGGGGCTGTTTTCACATCTTTGATCTCGCAGTGGCTGTGAACAGATGTGTCTACAAGATTTTCACAGTAATCTGCGATCCCAGAATAAACTTGGCTTTGTTATGGGTAAAATTATACCACAGATTATAACAGCCTATACAGAATTTGGAGAACTGCATGTGGGTTTACAAGAAACTGCTTGGACCAACTCCTAAAGCTAGGATTGGAACTTAAAACTGACCCTGACATAACTGGTGCTGTGTAACTGTTTCGATGCTGAAGTCATGTCTGCTCCTAAGATGGAACAAGCCACATCCCTCTCAATGTTCTGCCTGCTTCTTGATGTAGCTCCTTATATTGCGATTTGCAGAGCACTTGGAAACGTGCAAATAACTTCAGTGGCGCAGCCAGCTAGTGTTTTGAGAGCGTTGCCAGGCCGGGCACTGCTGCTGTGCCRCTCCTGCTGTGCCGCTGTAGCACCTTTAACAACGTGGCTATCCATATAGCCTCAGAGAACTCTTTAGAAGCAGCTATTTCTTACAGTGTGCAATGAATAAATGCTAATGCTTCACATTTTAAAGTCTTTTGACTATGTGAGAGTTAATGAAATGATCATTAGTTTTATTCCTTCTTTCCAGATGGAAATGTCAGAAGATGATAATAATATGGAAGATTACCCAGCTGAAATTCATGATTATCTCGCAGCATTTGAAAAATCTCTTGTTTCTGTAGATGAGATGCTTCAGACAATGATGTCTGTTTCCAGGATTGAGCTTCTCCGAAAGGTAAATATTCTCACTCTGACAGTGTTTTTGTTATGAGTACAGGAGCACCTGGGAACCCTGCCTTAAATAGAGGGGTCTCATAGGCTAACCCTGAACAGACAAATAACAAATATGACACTTCTTACCCTAGATACCTTGGGTTCCTTTGATCTAGTGCKTGCAATTTTTGCATTCCTAGGATATCCAGAGGGTCTTGCAAACTAAACAATGAAATGTATGTTCTTTCAAGCTGAAAAATGATGACCCTAGCAGTGAGTCATTTAGTAAACTGCATTCTAGGTTGTGAGCCTTCCTGGCAGTACATGCTGAATGCCTTTTCCAGAAGGGATAGCTCGTCCACTGCTTTGTCCAAGTGGCCTTTTCGCAATGATCTTCAGGGAATTCAGTTTACCCAGGAAGGAGATAAAGGTGAATTGGCAGCAGTGAGAATTGATCTTCTGATTCCAGGACTTAAAACTTGCAGAATTTGGTGCTTGAACAATTGACTTGTTTCCTTTAGCTATGTTGCAAGGAAAAGTTTACAAATTTTTTTTGACAAAAGTACAGAGCAAGGTACTGCCTAAAGACCTCCTACAAGCCTCTTTTTTCTTTTAACATTTAAAAGCAGACATGCAGTTTTTTCTTTGAGGGCAAGAAAAAGCAAAGATACAGAGAAACTAGATTATCCCCTGAGGATTTCTAACACAAATTATGAAGAAAATGGTCTTGACAACACGAGTCTTTTGACAATATCCCTGTTAAAGCCAGTGAGCTGTGCAACTACGTTGTTATTTTCTGGAAATCCTGTAGGACTAAAATAATAAATTGATTTTAACAGTCAAGGGGGAAAAATTTCATTACCTTTCTTCCTTCACATTTCTTTTTTCCTTCCTTCCTACTGTCCTAAGTATTCCAGCATGTGTTGAACACAGTCTAATACATACGATGTTCATATCTGCTAATTACGGACTGGCATTTCAACTTCTAGGTTTTTTATATCGTTAGGATTTTTTTCTTCTGCTAATAGCAAAAACTCTTTTACGTTTTTCTAGGAAAAGAGGACTTCTTCCTGCCTATTGGAACAGTAGTTCCAGGGCTACATGCTAAGAGATTTTTGTGCTTTCAGCCACCTCAGACTGTAACATTTAACATTAAGCTGGGAAAATGATACCAGTACTTGGACGGGAGGAAATGGTCCTGTGAGGCAGGGTAGCAGGTATAAACATAGTCTCACTGAAATAGTGTTGCAGAAATAGGCTTGTTGGGTTTGTGTGTGGAGGTGAGTGTAACAAATACAGGTGTGAAATGTGTACTGCTGAAGCTGTGCTTGTCTTGCTTAAATGTCTTTTTTTCTTTTTTTTCTCTCCTTTTAGTTAGAACCTCTTGAGCAAGCAAAACTGGATTTGGTTTCAGCCTATGCATTAAATTCCATGTTTTGGAGTGAGTATATGGTGGGAGGAAAATGCAATATTTATCATGGTGATCTGAATGCTTGTTTCTAGACTATGCAAACATAACATCATATTCCATAGCAAATAATTAAAAAGCTGTAGTCACCCTGAGAATCCAAAGTAGTGCTGTCCTTATGTCAGGGTAACTGATGCTGAAATTCCAACCTAAAAGTTTAGTAGTTACATAGGCATATCTTATGAATCGTGATGTTTCTTGTTTTCTTAGGAACATTTTCTCATAGGGACTGAAAAATCTAGCCATGTTAAATAATTTTTTGTTCAGAAAGTTTCAGCGGTTTCAGACACTGTGCAGTGCAGATTACTTATTAGCAGTGTTGCATGGAAAGTATAGTGTGCCTGCATGACTGGTGAGTTCTGCCCTTAGTCATCCCTGCCTTGAGTTCATGAAACATGTTTTCCTCTCGTAGTGTACTTGGCTACTCAAGGAATAAACCCAAAGGAGCATCCAGTGAAAGGAGAACTGGTAAGATGTTTGCACTGTTTGCCTTGTGATATTGTGCTTATCCAGGGCAGTTAACTCTTGTTTAAGTAAACATGTGTTTAAATCTGCATTTAGAAGTAGATGTGTTGCCACGATAGCATGTATAACATGCGGCCACGATAGCATGTATAACATGCGGCCACGATAGCATGTATAACATGCATATACTGTGTGGCGTTGTGTGCGTGGCTATTCGTATAGCCTGCTGAACACCCTAAACCAAGAGTCATATTTTTAGTTCCAAACAGTGTTGTTTAAGGCCAGGTTGCAGAGCAGAGCCTGCTGAAATTGGAAAAGAACAAGAAGATAAATAGTGTCATGTTATCTTTCATTTTTTTTCTCCACCTTTGTTTGAGAATTGGATTCTGAACAGAGCAGCTTTTCACTTGCATCTGTTGAATGGAAAAATGTTACATGTCTGATAATAATTTATAACTTCCAGTATGGTGTTTTTTCTTATAAATACTTGGAATCCTATTAATCTCCAGGGCTGCCTTTCCTTGCTCTTGTGTGACTCTGGAAGTGTCGTGTGGTTGATTTACTGGCGCAGACGGGAAAGAGCCCCCTTCTCCTCCAAGTTCTCCATTAATTCATTTTCTCAGCAGTAAAGAATTCAGTTCAGCAACAAAGCTAAAAGCTTTTTTGGCACCAGTTGTGTGTGTATTGTCCAGTAATTCTGCATTAGTGACATATTTACAACCTGTAATAAATCTTTTAGGTTTGTCTTTATATTCCATTTAGAGGCATGACTACACTGTAGAAGGTATGCTATCTTCAACGTTCTGCTGACTTAAAAAAAAAAAATCAGACCATTTAGCCTGAGGAAAAAAATAGAAATCAAAATTTAATAGCAGCCCCTTTCAGTTCCTTCATAAATGAAAATATTAAATCTGGGCAATCATAAAATATTTAGTTTAAACAATCCTTACCTAACTAGGGGTATGAAAGATAGGGCAGCAAATGTGTAAAGCTGGTCTGAACAACAAATACTTCTATTTTTAATTTTTGTTTGTAGTAGTCTAGACTGTATTGTATTAAAAATGGATCAGTTAATATTTCATGAGGTTTCAATTTCTTGTTCACCCTGTGATATATATTATCTCAATATTGTGTTAACTGTACCAAAAAATAATCTGAATCTCGTCTGCTGTAGATATTTTATGCTATTTTATTTCACAATTGCCATTCATTCTGAAGAATGAATGAATGAACACAGGCCAGACCCTTAGCCAGGTCTCTCTCTCTTCTATGTGCGTCAGGGTGGGTGAAGCTTGTTGCTTCCAGCCAGGACAGCGCGATACCCGTGTGGAAGGGGCTTGATGACTGCTCTATCGCTCTGCTTTGTTTCTTTTTGTTTGTGGTGGTGTTTTCAGAATTGCTGCTGTTGTGTGCATACAGGGAATAGAGGGAGATGCAGGTTGTCTTAATCCAACTCGCGTGCAAGCCATCCGAGCTCGTTTCTCTTGTCGCACTGTTGGTGTTTGTCAGCTCTTCTCTCCAGTGTTGATACATGCAGTTTTGCCATCTGTTCTCCGGAGCTGCCTAAGCCAACCCAAGTGAATGCCGCAGCACATTGTGCTTTCGGGCACTGTAGAGCTCTCCTAGTTGAAGTTCTCTTTGACGCAGGAAAAAATGGCCARTATTTTGGTAAATCAGTTGTTTCTCAGGATGACTGTAGGCTATGAAAAATCCAGTTCTGCAGGTTACAACTTAACTTTCAATTTCAAAAAATAAGTGTTAGCAATGTTGTTACGTATTATCTATGTGAACTTAACATATATGAATATTGATATAATTGTGTTACAGCCTACAGGCTTACCAGTTCAGGGTTTTAACTAAGCAACTTAAGTGTACAATGTCACAGACTTCTTGTAATGTCTTCTCTTGTTAAAGAAGTGTTTTGCTTTTGCCTGGGTATCAAATTGATATTTGAAACAACTGTGACTTCACTTTGGCATGTTTATTTAGGCCAAAATCCAAATTGAGTTTACTAGTTGGCTTTTTATTTATTTTATAATAACGATTCTCTTGGCCCACTCTAAATTAGATGAAGTCCTATGGAGATAGAGGCTCTCCACACTCATGATGGTAGATGGTAGATATAGATAGCAGATATTGGTACAGTAACTACCAGTGATGGAAGATCTAAAAGGGAAGCCTCAAGTTTGCCAAGAGCCCCATATAAATTTAACTGAATTCTGTGTAACTGATACCATTTTTCTGTGTGTGTTATAGAAATGTGTAGGAGCGTGGAAGACTTCTCATTGATTTTGCTTTAGCAGCAGTCTTGGGAGAACAATATGAAATATATTGGACTTTCTCTTTTCTTTTCCTAGGAGAGGATAAGAACATACATGAACAAGGTCAAAGAAATAGAAGACAAGAAAAAAGCATCCAAACTTGATAAAGGAGCAGCTTCTAGATTTGTAAGAAATGCTCTCTGGGAACCAAACCCTGAAAAAGAACCTACCTCTAAAACTTCTGCCAAAGCGAAAAAGAGAAAGATGAACTAATATTTTTTTTCCCCCTTAAATGAATCAGAGATGACTCAAGTTTTAAAAATGTTTTACACATGGGGTACATCTTGTAGAGCTGTGGCACAACAACCTTCCGGTTAGGTTACACTGAAAATATTTTTATGGGATTGTATTTTGTCCAGAGGTCACTGAGGTCATCACTATACAGTATGTGAGTATCTTGCTGATAAAAAATAAATCCTGGGCATTAAAAACAAAGCGTTACCTGATGTATTCTAATGCTGAACCATGGACACATTTTTTATGTATATTATGCTATATATATTAAAACAGTATGAAACAGGGCTATCCAGTCTGTGGTGTTTATATAGCAACCAGGTTTATTATTTCATTATATTGCTGTATGAAACAGTATTTGCGGAATTTGGTTAGACTTATTCACTGTGTTAAACTGTTTCCTTTTCAGCTTCTGCAGTTGAATGCATGGCGTATATCCCTTGACTTCTGTTACCTTTGAGAAAGCCACAAGAATATAGCTAGAATTGCACTTGTCCCCTGTCACTTACTGCTGGCGCTGATAAGATGGCGATACGTGCCGAGATGAGGGGCCTGTGGTCATCTGCTGCAGAAACTGCATTCTCTTTAGGAAGAAGCTTTGTTGTGTAAGGGAGGAGGTGCGTTAATTTCTTTGAGAGTTTTTTATTTTTTAGTACACTGCAAATCAAAATTCCAATATCAGAGCAAAAGCTGTCTAGCAGTTAGCAGTACCCTAATTCTGAATTAATGATAAACACTTCAGTTAATGAGCATACAGTCTGGGTTAGCACACCAGCTTGGGAAGTGCCGTTTGGAAGATGGGGACCATACTGGTCTGCAATGGACTGCTACTGATAGAGTGCTAAAATGAAGGTTCATCACTAATAAATACAGATTTAAAGGTAAACAAAGCTTACTAAAAATACTTTGTGTGTCTCTGGAAATTTTTCCAGTGACAGGTATAACTTTGCATGCTTTTTTTTAGCAAACTCCTTGAGCAAATAATTCTTGTATGTGAAGATGTTGTCTTAGTGTTCATCTTCAAAACCACAGGATTGTTCCCCCGAAGTGTGCCTGTCCAAGGCCTGTAAACATAGGTGAAAGCTGAGCGTCTCTTTCCTGTATGTTAATGATATAGTTAGGCACAACTAAAGTGCTGCTAGGAGCCTCCCTTGGCTTAAGGTTAAACCTGAGAGACCAGTGGGTATCCTTGACTAAGGACAGTGGTACCTCGCAAAGCAGTTCTTTGGTGTGCTTGGTTGAGGCAGAGTTTATCTGGAAGTCTGTGTCCTTCGTATATCCCCTTGACCACGATGCTTCTATGGACTGTTCTGAATGGACCAGCGGCTTTATGCGACTCTGGAGGTGTGTGCCAAAGTTTGTTGCTCAAAATGCCGGTCTCAAAGCTCAACTGCTCCTAGAGATGGTGATAGTTGTATAAGCAACAGACCAGGGCACATCCACAATTTGGATCACTTAACAGCTGTCCCTAGTTAATCCCTGTGTGTGTTAAAGGGCCTTTGAACTATCTGGGAAGACAGCAACATTAAAGTGATCTGAAGTAGCACTGGGCATTTAGATAGAGGTGTCTGGAACATGACATCTGAAGCTTCGAGAGGCATTCTGAAGAAACAAATAGCTTGGCATGTATCACATTTATTTTAATGGAGGTTGCCATTATTATCTTCTTATGATTCAGTTATAACCTTTGTTTTGAAAGGATAAGTTCTAAAAAGGACCATAATTCATGGCCCAATGAAGAACACAGACTGCATTGGTAAATGTTTGCCCAAGAATAAGCGAAGTCTCTTAAGAGTCCGGAGGCAGCAGTCTGGCTTGGGTGTAATTAACTGTGTACAAGTGGCTGCCATTTGTGGTAGCACAGTAGATACCTGTGCAACATACACAACTGTAAGGTCTTCAAGCCTGTAACTTTAGTGTGGTGGCTTTGGTGTAACCTGGACAAATTCCCACAAACTGGGGTGGCAACAAGGCCGTGTGTGTCTTGTTCAGTAACCACCCACAGTGGTTTTTATGCTACTCATGGGAGGCTGGTGGGGGCTGAAAAGAAGGGAAAACCTCTGAGTGATTTTTACTCCCACTGTGGTATGTGCTGAAGTCCATGCAGAAATTTATTTAAAGAGAACATTAAGGTATATTGGGCTCCTGCCTGCTCTGTCTTGATTTTGCTAGAAATATGTGAAGGAATAATATTAGTCAGAAATGCTACCTAGAAGAAATACAAAATTGCTCTTTCTGAGAATAWTTTTTAGCTAGGGCAATGAGAAAAATGTATAGTTGTCTGATTTATGGTCTAATTGTATTGCCTGAAATATGTATGTATCAGGACTTACTGGAGGATGATCAATGATGCCAAAAAGTAGAAAGTGTTCAAGTTACTAAAAGTAAAAAATAGTATTTATTGTTAAAGGGCCAAAACAACTGAAACTGGTTGTATCTCTAATATGGAAAGATTGATCTTTTGTTATAAATTGAGATTTTAAAATGGCAAAAGAGAATATTTATTAAAAACACTACATATGTATGCCTCTTAGTTACAGCTTTACTTCTGTGTGATTTAAAAAAAAATTAAAATAGATAGGCAGTTAGCAATCATGGGGAAAAATATATAAAACAAAGCCAGTTGTCATTTTGGAAGAGTCTGTGACCCCTCAGTGGTGGGGGGAAATGCATACTAGGTTTTCTTAATGTTAATTTGCTTTGAATTACTCCTTGCAGAGAGAGTTCCAGAGTCTGTTTTGAACACTTGTGCTGTGCACGTCACTTGCTTGCCCTGGCCAAAGTAGCACGGTGKTTTTTTTCAATTTCTGCTCTCCACGGTGAGGCACTTACTGTCRTATTTATTAGTCGACCTTCTGATTTGGGTTTTGCTGATTGCTAACCTTCCCTGTAGGAGAAGATTAGAGATCTGTGGACTACTTCCTGCTGGTGATCTAAGAAGCAGACCTCGTACTGCTCAGTTTTCATCAGCTGTACCAAAGGGAAAAGAGCAAAAGCTTGTTTTTAATACTAAGCTGAGTGAATATGGCATGGAAATCTGGTAATGGCAAGGTATCAATTTTGTAAAGTGATATATTTCAGTATCTCTTTTTAGTATAGTGTTGCCTTGATGTGCATCATTTCAGTTTGGCAGGCCCAGCAAATGGATGGGAGCAATTCAGGATGATAATTCAGTATTGCCAAGAGGCTTCTTCTCAATCTAGTGCAGACACATTCCATGGTGAATATAAAGCCTCTATTAAGTGACACAAAATGGGTCCAATTCAGCACTTTGTTGCTCCAGCTTTATGCTAAAACAGCTGTGGTTTCAAAGGTACTTAAGCTGACTATCCAAAGAGTAGACCAGCAACATGATTTTCAAGCTAAAGATACCTCAAATTCATGATGATGCTCYTTGAAAAGCAATGACTCAGAATAGGCAGGAAAGAAAGGAAACTCAGCTGCACTTGCAAATGAACTGTAAAGTAAGTAGTTGTAGGGGCAGATTTTTAGCTGTTCACCAGCTCAAATTGATAAAGTAAATGGGCAGTCACTGAGTTCAAGCACTGAAGCTGGCCAAAAGTAGGAGTTTTTGATGTTACTCATTTCTTATAAATGCTCACTTTCATGAACATGTTTAAGACTTTATTTTCCTCTTGTATTTTTCAAGTATGTTTATTTTTCTTTATCACTTGAGTTTTTTTGGCCTTGGAAATGAATTAGTCATTACTTAAAGCCACAAAGTCACTGTCCCCGTTATTAAAAGGTGAGAAATATAAATGSCTGGTAATAAACATTGTCATGCAAAGCCTGCATAAACAGTCTTACTGACTTGTTGCACTGAGATGAAAAGAACTACTCTCCAACTCCTCTGCAAGACAAAAACGTGTTTTCTTATGTAGTGTGTGCACAGAGAGTGTTTTCTCAAAGTTTTTAATTGCTGTCTGTACGCACTGCACATCGAGTGAATGTTGYTTATCTCCTGCTAGCCATCAGGCTCCTCTCAATGTATATCAGAATCAAAAGTGCAAGGTAATGAAATGCTGCTGTCAGACTGTGCATATGCCATTCCTTTATGTCAATTTAACKCTTGTTTTTGTCAAAGTAGAAAAAATCCATCACTCAGGAACAGAGAATATGGCCTTATGTGAGTATGAATTTGTATATATGTTATGTAATGAGGACACTACTAAAATCTGTCTGATTCTAAAAAGTCACTGATCTCCAGTGAAGTTCACGTGATTATTAAAGACCACCAATTTGCTATATAGATGGTATTTCTTAAGCTTTGTTTGTCACTTATTGCAGGGCTTACTACTGATACTTGCACAAAATACCTCTAGTTGTGTGGGGGCTTGTGTGTTTTGTTTTTTCYTCAATTTCCAGATGTTTATAACTTTGCCAGCTTCTTACTGTTTGCATTGGATTTGTAAAGGCTGGACAGTTATTAGTTGTTCTCAAGAATATGATTCATGAAGTATAGGTGGCTTTGCCAGGGGTAGCTAAGACTTCTGAATATGCTTTTCTAAAGGTTTTAACCTTCTTTCATTGAGGTGAAAATCTGAAAYGTGGTGGATCTGCCCACAGGGCTCTACAGAAAACATGAAAAACTGCATAACAGACATCAGCTACTAGTTTGCTGTGTGTTCCAGCTTTCCCATAAATGGATGCTAATATGGTGCTCTAACATACTATTTTTGCAAAATTGCAGATCTAATACAACTTTATTGATAACTTTTGTTATCAATTAAAACCACTGTTTGGTTTATATTTGCAGAATGTATTAGAAATATGAAACTTAAGAAGAGTTACTGTTAGTATTTTTTTTCCAAAGCGATGATGAAGCTGCTCCAATTTTCAGCTATTGAAATGGATGCTGCAGTCTGGTTAATCTAATGTATTCTGTATAGAGATATTCTTGGGCCAAATAGTCTTTATAACTGACTCCCAAAAAAACAGGATACTTCATTCTATGAACTCAACCTCATCCCATTATATGGGATTACACAAAAGAACTATGGTAGATACATGAGTCATTTCTGGGCATAGGTTAATATTTCTAGATGTAGCTATTCCTTATTGTGCCTTCTTTCTTTTTTTCTTCCTACCCCCTATTCCACCTTCTTGAAACTGAGCTAAACTACCCAGATTGAGATTTGGCCCACTTAAAATGTCCACTTATTTCCCTAAGGAGGAAAAAGTTTGAAAGATTTTTTTTTTTTCCCCTGCCACCCAGGTGAGGTTGTACTCAGAAAAATTAAGGGACAGATTTTAACATGGGATTTACTTGTGCTGCTTCTGTCCATAGTTGCAGAGACTTGTGAATTTCAGTACAGGGAAGAGACTCTGACCCCATGGTACTTCCATTCCCATCACAAACAGCTGAGATATAATTGAGCCAGGCCTTCAGTTAATGTGCAGTGTTAAACTCATTTGCATCCAAAGAGGATCAGAAGTTCAAAGTCATTTAACACAAGGCATGTATTAGGTGGACTGCTGGCCACTGGAACCTCGGGGGCCATTACCTCAGCTGGCAAAGATTAGTGACAATTCTATTCAAGCATCTGAGCCAAAGTGCCACCAACCTCAGGGAAAAGAGGAAAAAAAGCTTCTCAGCTGGTGTTAAGTGGAGTGACTTTGCTGGAACTGTGTTAACACATCTGTGGCCTGGTATTGGTAAGATACTGGAGTGGTTCTTTGTAACATTACTGAAGAATGCATCTTAAAAGGGTAGGTTTTGGAAGGTATGATGAAGGAAGGAAAATGAAACTRATTAAAAAATTGTCATTTTGTCCTATTTAGTTTATCTGATAAAAATTTTTTTAGTAGGCTGGCTTATTTATAAATTAGAGGCAAGCATTTTTCAGTGTGGTCACAGCAGAGAAGGCATGTAAATTGTGCTGTTTAATTCCTCTGTGCTTTAAGTCCATTTCAGCTCTTTTTTTTGTCTTGCAGCTGCTTTTCCAATATCTGCCTTAAATATTASTAGAGGAGGTCACTCTCCTGCTACCTCTGAATTTGGTGCAAAAAAAGGGGGGGAGGGAGGATTCTGCAAGCATCCTGCAAGTTTGGGCTTTTTGGGTATCTTTGTATTATGTTACAGATTACCTAAATTACAGCAGAAATGAGCTCTATTAAAACAGAGCCCCGAACCTCTTCTAGTAAGCTAAATTAGTTTGAATCAGAAGTGAAGGTGAACAGGGTGTATATATATCCCCTGGAGCCAGTACACTTATTCCTCTGCTGCAGCTCTACAGTGCTGTTTCTCCCACCTTTATTTGCCATGTCTTCTGTACCCCTCCAGAGCACTCTGTCCCCCCTCAACTGGCTGCATATCCTCAGTGTATCTCACTGAGAAGAGGAGCTCAGTGCCGCAGGGGAGGTCACTGCTCTGCGCTGCCCGAAGGCCTCTCAGAGCCCATGGCCACACCGGAGCTGGGGCCCGTGCCCCGGGGTGCTCGGGGTGACGCAGCCCTGCCGCTCGCGGTTCTCATCCTGGCAGGGCAGTCCTGAGGCCCTGGGCGGGTGGGCTCCCACCTCTGCCCCTTCCTCTCGCAGCACAGCCAGCTCCGAGGACAGTGTCTGCCTTGCACCTAAGGGTGCGGAAGCCTCTTCCCCYGCGCGGGCACTGCTGCGGCTCCCCTGCCCCAGCAGGGCGGCCCTGCGCCATTTTCTCTGTAGCAGCCCCGTGTGACACTGAGGTGTGGGGGCGTCAAAATGGCGGCCAGGCCTACAGGTGGCTCCAGGTGGGAAGATATTGCCATAAAGTAGGTTCAGCGCTCACGGAGGTGCTGCCTCGCGCCCTCCTGGTCATCGCTGAGGGTGAGGGGTGTTCGTCATTGCACATTTATGTCCCCTCGTGGCCCTTCGCTGCGGGTGGCTTCATGGGGAACATGGCGGCGGCCGCTTGTCTGGCGGCAGAGCGGGGAGAAAGGGGCCAAGCTTAGGGGAGGCCTCTGACTTGCTTTTTTTTTGGCTTCTCTTTGCAAATCCCAGCGCTGGTGACTCTTTTCCACTGGGTGGCAGCAAAGGAGCAT